TACAAGCCAAGTTAGTGATATATTAAAGGATTCTGACAAATGGATTAAAATCGATCCAAATTCCTATCAAGCAAAATAAATTTATAACAAAACAAATTTTCTTTACTAGTGGATAAACGATAACGTGTTGTTAATTAGAATGATAAAGCTTGAGTTTAAAGATGTGGTTATCGATTATTCAAAAGAAGAATAAGTATTCCGCTGGATCAGACTCTAGCAAACTTTCATTTTTTACATTTATGTCACAATAGCTTTCTATAAAAGTCGTGTTTGATAATGAAAGCCTTGAATTGTTGGAAAGTGCTGAAAAGTTCAAGCTGAAAGAAATGAAGACGAGCGCATAAGAGATGATACTGTGTCGACTGATATTCCTCACTGAATTTATCATACAACACGAAAATATTATTGTTGTTATTGTAGATAATACATATTACTGTTATTTAAAAAAAATTGATAAGTCGGTCAATCTATATAAAGTCGCGAGAAGCTCCAAGTTGGTCAATCACTTAGCCCAAGTATAAATTAAATGAATCACGATAAGTGATATCTTATTATGTGAAGGTCATCATTGTGCTGTTTGTATTCTTTTTTTGCAACCTGATTTTACTTCTCAATATCCTTCGATACAAGAGTAATTGAAGCAATGGATATAAAATAATTGTCTTTCCAAAGCTCCATCACAAGTTCAACTTTATTGATTATTATTGGGGAGCAAACAAAAAAATATGCAAGGAAAAATTGTGATCGTCCTTTTAAAGGTTTAGAGGAACTGTTCCAGAAGCATTTGAATCAGTAACACTGAAACAATATGCCTGATACTTACCATAAGGAATTTATGTTGGAAAATGGGGATTTTGGCCGTGTGGCACAGTACTAGGGAGATAGAATTTCTTGTGCTACACATTTTTTAATAAGATCGACAAAATCTTGGCCAATGAAATAATGTTTAAATCCAATCATTCTAAATCACGTTGCATATTAATATTCCGTTGTAGAAAAAACTCGAATTTTCAATTCTAATGCCAAGACAAAATTCAAATTCAAGAATCACCGACATATTAAGTGCTAGAGAGTTATACCCATTTCATCATTCATTATACTCCAAAGCTTTATACTCTGATCGTTATGTGGTAAAACGATTTAGTAATTTTCAAAGTTTAAAACATCATAGAGGTTGTGTAAATTCGGTTTTTTGGAATGAGGCTGGCAACTTGATCATATCTGGTTCAGGTAGGTTAATTCGTTTAAACATGGTTTTTTTTTAATTAATTACAATATACATATTATATTATAGATGATTGTCGTATAAATATATGGGCACCATTTGAAGACCCAGAGAAGTCTCTTATTCATTCAATTTCATCTGGTCACAATGCAAATATTTTTTCTGCTCGCTTCATGGCAAAATCAAATGATAGACACATAATTTCATGCTCTGCCGATGGTGTTATTAGATACACTGATCTTGAGCATATTGTAGAAAATGATGCTAATTGGTCTCCTTTACCTGAATTTAATTGCCATAGTTATATGGCGTAAGTATTTTTTATCAAAGTTCAAACTCCAAAATTCGTAACAAGATCATATATTAAAATAATAACAAAATACTTGTGTGAAATAGATTCGAAGTACTGCCAGATCCAAATGATTCAAATATATTTTTCTCATGTTCCGCTGATGGTCTAATCAATCAATATGATCTACGAATCAAAAAATCGTGTCCATGTAATCATTGTAAACAACACATATTTCTTGATCTGAATCCAACAAGTAATCCTGACAAACATTGTCTAAATTCTATTAATATTGACAAAAAAAACAATAATAACAGTCCATATAGAACCAGCACTGGAGCCAGGACCAGGACCAGAACTACTACCATTATAGATGGTGATGATGATAATGAGTCATTGCAGGAACGACAACAACAACGACATCAACAGCGAGGACGACGACCTGAATTGGGAAATCCTTACCCAGCTAGACAAAGAAGAAGAGGAATAATAAAAAGTCGCACAAAAGATACGAGTATAACCACTATATCCATAAGACCTGATAATCCGGTATATATGGCAGCTGCATGTGAAGATACTGTACGTATTTATGATCGTAGATATGTAGTGAAATCATCATATCATCGTGAAAGTCAAGTATATCAATTCATTCCAAAGTTAATGCGTGATAATCCTGCCTCCACTCAAAGTAAAATGACCAGTTTAAAGTTTGATCCATGTGGTGGTGGTGATTTATGTGCTAGTTATAGCAATAGTAAAATTTATTTGATTAGGCCTAATGCTGATCAGAAAAAAAAATCATCTCATAAAAGTTCTGTTAGTACTACAGCACCCAAGCGTAGCTATAATAATAGTAGCAGTAGTGGTGGCAATAATAATAATGATGATGTTTTTTCTAAGAAAAAAGAAAAACAAAAACAAATTAATGATGAGAACATTGATAGGGGTACTGTTGATCATAATTTGATGAATAATGATGATAATAACCCAAATCACTCACACTTATCACCAGTTAGCATGGAAGGTGTTGCTTGTGGTAGTGGTAGCAGTGATGGTAATGTAAATAATATTGATAGAGAGGGTAAAGCAACAACGAAATATGACGAGAATAATAATAATAAAGTTGATGGTGTTAATAGTATTGAATTTACTGTTCCAAGTGAGGCGGGTAATATTATTAGTAATGATAATAACTATGTTAATAAAACAAAATGCAGACCTATGATTATTGATGATGATGAAGATGATATTATGGGAGATGATGATAATGATGATATTGTTAATGATGATGATGATGAAAATTATGATGATGATGATGATGATGATGATGATGAAAATGAAGATGAAGAAGATGAAGAAGATGAAGAAGATGTTGACGATTCTGAAGATGATGTTGACAAATATGATGATAATATTTATAGCACAGATGAAGAAGATGAAGATAGTGAATATGAAGAAGCTCATGAAGAAGATGTAATTAAGATTTATAGTGGCCATGTAAACTCGAGAACTATGGTTTGTTATCTTTTATCATCGATTTTTTTACTTTTTATAATGATAGTAATAATTTTTTATTATATTACTATTATCTTTACCATAGATTAAGGAAGGATGAAACGTGTATAACTCTCTGGCACTTAATATGTCGGTAATTCTTGAATTTGAATTTTGTCTTGGCATTAGAATTGAAAATTTGAGTTGTTTCTACAAGATAATTGTGCCATCCTCCAAAAGATCACTGGTATCACCAAGCAATACACGTTTACTATATATAGTAATAAAATTTTACATTTAAAGTTTTCTCTTATATTCGATCAAAGCACTTTTTGAACATTTTGTTTGAAAAAAATTAAACTTAGGATATTCAAGCTTGCTCTATTCAATGATACATATGTTTGGCCTTCGGCAAATATGTTTTCATCAATAGAGATGGTTATGTAGGGTCAAATCCTGTGTTTATGAACAGTCAATGAGAAAGCATTTTGGAGCGATAATTGTATAGACTTTATTAATTAATTGAGATTACTGTAACACGTGTATAGCAATAAAACAAATAGAATAACATTTTGTCTCGATGTTAGTCTGGCTCCTTTTTCCTTAATATTTATTATCCAACGTTAGATAACACGATCAAAGGAAACGATGAAAAATCCATCACATAATCTTTATTAATTAATTAGGTTAGGAATGTATTCTCACCACTTGTTATTATAACAATATAATAAATAGGATAACATTTTTCTTGGATCATCTCGATGCTAGTCGGGTAACACGTCACATATAATAAGTATTCTCATCACTTGTTATCTATACAAATATATTATTATTGTAAATGTGCAATTGATCTAAAAGGAATTGATTAAGATAATTTGTGTATGTGTACCAAAATGCAAAAATAAAAATATATCCCTCTCATCTCTTGTTAAATTCCTACTTCATCACCATGTTTTGCTTATTTCGGACAATTTCTTCAACAACTTTTTCAAAAGATTTTCCTCTCTTAACACTCTTTCTTTCATTTCCTGTTGATGCAAAGGATCTTTTATTTTATTGAAAACCCCACTTGATTCAACAAATGGTCCTCAAGTTTTTTTCAGTGCTGCTCGATCCTTGTTGACATTTTTTTTCTTTTTTTTATTGTTTGATGATGATGCTGATGACGACGACAATGATGACGACGACTAGATAACGACGACGACGATTCTATAACTGGATATGTAAATTCAAATCTCAGGACCTTCAAATGCAAAAAATTATTCCCAATTTTCCAACCGTTGAAATTTTAGTCCTTTTTAGATTTAGTATACATTATTGTTATTAGTGTCAACATTAGATATTATCAGATAATTTAAAATTTTTTAATTATTATATTACTATATACAATAAATATACACCACCCCAAAAACTAATAAAGTTGAATTTTCCTCTAACCCTCTTATTAATTAATTAAAATATACAGCGGTTACACTATCAAATGTTTAATCTGGTACTACGATACAGATCTATAATTTAATTGCCTATACCATTTTTTTATATTAAATTACGATCGATCTGGTACTACGATACAGATCTATAATTTAATTGCCTTATACCATTTTTTATATTAAATTACGATTGATCTCATTACAAGATTTCATGTGATCGAGATGTTATTTAATTGATAAATTATTTTTAGTCAAAAATACGTAGATAACCTGGTCAAGACTATTTCCTTTTCAAACACACGCAGAAAAGAAGGAACTTGTCGAGTTGCTAGTACAATGGAATTACGTGAGTGAACAAATATTATTTTATTTTCATAACAACAATAGAGAGATGATGATAAATGAATAATTGTAAGGTTAAAATCTTGTGCAATTCGGTAGTAAGTAAGACAATTTGAAATCCTATACATTAGTAAGTAGACTTTTTAAAAGTTGAAACCCGATGCGTTCGGTAGTAAATTTTCTTTATGAAAGTTGAAAACTTATGCGTTCGGAAGTAGGACAATGTGAACTCTTGTACATTTGTGTTAGTAACTTTTGAAAGTTGAAATCCTATGCGTTTGCTAGTAAGCTTTTTTGAAAGTTGAAATCCTATGCATTTGGCGAGTAAGCTTCGAAGGTGAAATCCTGTGTATTTTGCAAAGTAATATTGTTCGAAATCTTATGCGTTTGCTAGTAAGCTTTTTTGAAAGTTGAAAACTTATGTGTTCGGAAAGTAGGACAATGTGAACTCTTGTACATTTGTGTTAGTAACTTTTGAAAGTTGAAATCCTATGCGTTTGCTAGTAAG